GAGTTGGCTCTTAATTATAGATGCATTTGTGTATTAAAGTACTATTACTGATGAAGGTTAGGATTGTTGGAAGCCACTATTTGTTGTAGATAGGTCTAATGAACTTAGTTAGAGCTAATAACAGTTAATAAATCTAATGTAGTGATTAAACTTAAGAGTTAAGAGTTTTGGATGATTAAAGTGTTGAAAATTGAGAGTTAGAAGTGAATAATTTGTGACACTAATGATGATTTTGGGTGTTGAATGATATATTAATAATTATTTAAGTTCTTGAGAGCTAAATGAAGTTAATTGAAGTTAATGAATTCATTGGATATGAGGTTAATCTTATAGTTGACAAACTTGATTATTAAAATATGAAATTAGATGTTGAAAGTAGTGATTTTGATTATTATTAGTGATGGGTGTTAATGTCAATTGTAGACTAACCTTGTAAAGTACCAGTAAGCTTGATTTTAGCTTAGAAAACAAGTTATGAATCGATAAAAATTGTGAACTGAGATATTATGTGAATGTGATTGTGTTGGGAAAAATGTTGAGCATGTTATAATGAAAATGGTGTCAATGATTTATATGCTATTAATGAATAAGAATAAACATGCTACATGTTGTATAGTTATGCATGGCATGATCACATAAGGCGAGAGTTCTTTTATAGGGAGAGGAGTAGATATTGTAAATTTACGTGATATTGGCAACTTACTATTAGAATTGAAAGTCAGCCCGGCTACTAACTGTTAGAATCAACAGATAGCCATTATCCTACTGTTGTTGAGAGATTGTCCTACTTGTTCTTTAAGGAACTCAAACTTAACTAGTCTCCACTCGTTTATGAGAAGGCTAACTTAGGATTACAATACCCCATGATTATTAGTATTGGGGCAGACCATATCGCACAAGTGATCTTAAAGGTAGTTTGACAGATGATCTTAAAAATCAATTAGATGCAAAAGGGCGCTGGACTTGTGATACAAAATGGCTAAAGTCAGCCTATGAATATGCCTATTTTGGTTCTTTGCCTAACTCCCTTTTAACCTCTCACTGAAGTATGCTACAATCACAATAAGTTATCTCTAAATCAAGGATTTCATGTATTTACCTTCAAATTTCTCCTTCATTTAATTGGATAGCATAACTTCCTTTATATGTGTCTATGTGTGATATGCAATCGTATGCTATCCTAAGCAATGCATCCAGTCTCTTCGCATTCTTAGTCTCTAGCATTTTTGGGTGAGAAATTTACTTGGTTAGTGCTCCTTAGTATTCTTTGCACTGGAGGAACAGTAATTATAAGTCTTGGTGATTCATAAAGTGGTTTAAGCACAATTGCTTCAAATCCTAATCCTATATCAATTTTTTGTTTCTAAAGTTCAGTTGGTTACTTGTTATTTTTTAACTAAGGATATACATTCTTTTATATGATAAGAAGAGAAGTAGTGGTGGAGGAGGAGGCAACTGGTGGCCTTGCCAAGAAACTTTTGTTCTCTTGAAGATAAGGTTAAATATGGACTTTACGTTTCGGGATTCCAGTCTTAAAGGTCTACTTTGGGAACAAATTGAATTCTTAATATTTATTCTATCTTTGATTTATTTATTCTTCTCCTTTTTTTTATTTTTGAACATGGAATTAGTTTACAAAAAAAGAAATTGTTACTCCTCCTTCAAGTTCTTGCATGATCTGTCTCTCTCCTCCTTATTAGGATTTCGTAATCTTATTGTTTCTTACTCTCATTCCCAATCCTTCTCCCTGAAAAAATTCATTTAATCTCCCTCAGTACTGGATCTTGTTTCTCCACTGTCATTATGATGTGGTTTTCTGATTCATATTGCTTCACATGTCATTCCAGCTTGAGATTAGCAAGAATCAAATTAAACAGGCTTATATCATCATTATATTTTGCCTTTTTACTAAGCTCAAAGGAATTGACTTCAGGATACACAAGACAAGTATACGCATATAAATTAATGAATGATTCTGTATCTGAGTATTTCTTCAGAGCTAATTTTCCCTCTCCCTTATTGGATTTTAACCTCTTATTCATTAATGAGCACTCTTTTAGGAATGAACTACCCTATTGTTCATAAATGGTGTTTGATTGTAATAATAAGTGCTGATATTTATGCAACTCTTTTTCTAGATGGATTTTTGGGTTAAGCAATGCATGTTAGAAAGCTTTTCGATCTATGATTCTTCAGTGAGTACTGTTTCCTGTGAGTACTTGCACTTCTAGATACATGATTTAGAAATTTGTTAGCATGCTTTATCATTGAATGTCTTTACACTTACCTCTGCAGCTTTATTAAAGTAGAAGGCTATCCAAATGAAATGGATAACTGTGGTTTAATAAAAATTAATGAATTACGTAGCATAGGTGTGTGCATATTAACTTCAAATATATAATACACTGTAATAATGAGCATACATATAATGCCACGACATGCTATTAATTTGTATCATGTCTACTTGTATAATGTTCATGAGAAGTAGGTGAAGTGTCTCTACAAACAATCGTTATAATTTGCAAATAAAAAAAAGAAAAAAGAAAAGTTGAAGTTGAAGTTTTCGTTTAGACTGACATCCTCGCATTCTTTTTTTGGTAAAGCATTTGATTCTTACTTTGGTTGCATATGGGTGGTGTAGTTGCCTTGTACAATTTACCGCTCATATATATATATATATATATATATATATATATATAGCAACAAGCAAATGCATTTTGTGGACTAATTTTAAAATTTATTTTGAATTTTGTAGATATGGGTGCATATGCAAACTGAGGAGCTTGGGCTATGGTGCTTAATCAAGAGCTTGAAGTTATCCTAGTTCTCTCATGAATTATTGTTTAGGAATATTTTATTAATTTTTTTCAGTCCAAAAAATTTATAGGACAATTTTCTTTCGCATATATAAGCAGCACTCAAGTGATTAATTTCTTTTAAATTGTATGATGTTTATGTGTGTTAGATTTTGAATTCCATAAATATAATATTTTTATTTTATATTATTTTCTTGCCATTATTTAATGATTATAGTGTGCATCATACTAAATATTAAAAATAAAAATTGATAGATACAATTAATAAAAAATAATCGCATATTCAATTGAAAAAAATAATAACCTATCTGATAGTTGTTTAAACAAGCATCAAGTAAAGTAATAATATTTGACAATTGTTTAAAAAAGTGTCAAATTAGCTTTATTTGACCATTTTTTAACGACCTTCAACAAAAGGATACTTATAACTAGATCGAGAATAAGAGCCGGCCTGGAGGGTTGGGCTTAGAGGCCTTTTTTAAATAAAAGTTTAGACTTTAAACATGAATTTTTTTTAAAGTAATCGACCTTAAGAGCTTGCCCCTGATGAGCTCTGTAAAAAAGTATTAAGGCCCGAGCGGCCTTTCAAATCCTATTATATTATTATTCTTATTATTTTTTTTGGTAAAACACGTGTTTGAAACTAATGACCTGCTCACCTGATCCTACAAGCATTCTATTAGTAATTTTAATTTATTTTAAAATTAATTTAATATAATTTAATAAATATCAGCGTATAGTATAAAATTTCTAATATTTTTTATTTTTTTATAATTATTATCTTTGTATATTTATAAAAAAATGAACTATTTTTTAATTAGAATTTAAACTTTATTACTAGGCTTTCAAATGTGTGTTGTTCAATTTCTAAAAAATTATGAGAATTTTGATTTTTGTTTCATTTTAGAATATTTTAATTAATTTATAATATTTAATTTTATTTTATTTTTAAAAAAAGGGCTTGCAAGCCAACCCTGAGTCCTTCACATAAGGGCCGAGCTTGAAAAATGGAGCCAAAAATGAAGAACTGGGCTTTAAGGCTTAGGCTCTTAAGGGCCGGGCCTGCCCATATTTTCAGCTCTACTTATAATTGAAACTCGCACAAGTGGGCAGGTAGAGAATACCTAGAGGCACGAAATAACTCTCTCTCTCTCTCTTTAAGGAACTTAGCAAAATAGCCCCGTAACTTCGAGAGAAAGGGGTGCCGCTTCACAAAAGGGGTCACGGTGACCAAGCTTGAGCTACTGTTTATAAAAAACACAGGCCTCTGCAAAGTCATAAGATCATGTATAGGGGCTAATGCTTGCCTAGTGCTAGAAGGTCAAGGAAGTTGGTGACCTGATCATAGGGGAGCTATCAATCAAAGCCTAGGTGAACAGTGACCATAGCTATAACAGTCCTAAGGTAGTGAAATTTCTTGTCGGGTAAGTTCTGACTTGCATGAAAGGTGTAACGGTCTAGGCACTGTCTCGAAGAGAGGCTCAATAAAATGGACATGTCTATGAAAATGTGGACTACCTGATTTATTTGATACTTTTTTAAAAAAATTGTCAAATATTACTACTTTACTTAACACTTATTTAAAATAACCATCAAATAAAGTGATTTTATTTGACGGTTAAAAATTGTCAAATAAAGGTTGAAACTTTATATGGAATCAGAATATTAACCATCAAATGAGGTTTAAAATAAGTGTCAAATAAGCTTATTTTTGTTGTAGTGAGTGTAAGGAAAAATCCTTGAAGTTGTGAAGCCAGGACTCACAGATGAACATTGTGCCTCGTCATTGTTCGTCGATGAAGAGTTGCTACCAAAGATCACAATATGCACTCGAGAGGAGAGAGGAGGGGAGAGAATTTGGTTAGGGTATTTTGATCATTTGAAGCCTTGAATTTATGCCACCGAAGGACTTCATTTCAAAAAAACCTTTTAAGTCCTTAAAAGTAATTAAAATTGTGGTGAAGTCTTCTTGAACAATTTTTCGCTGTAGTTATTATTTATTAAAATTAATCATCTGTCCACATCACCAGTCCTCGCCAAATCTAGTCCTCACAAGTGTTCCCGTGAACAGACCCGCCCGCGCTCTCGACGCGGAGTTTGAATATTCTTTGTATGAATAATATATATACCTTGGCTGGTCGATTACCAAAAATCACGAAATGTTTTGACCTCTCCATACAAAAATGCTTCTTGGCCAATCTGCCCAATATGAAAAGATTCTGACCAAGACCTCACGCAGGGAAATGCAGAAGAAACCTCCACCTGATGCTTAAGGAATTAAAAGCTGCTTTCGAAAGCAATGCCTGCGAAACTTCCTCGTCCCTGCTTTGAACATGCTCATCCTGAATCTGGCCTACGTCTCGTACTTCCCCGTGCACCACCAGCCTCAGTTTACGTAACAGACTCGAGCGCCTCGCTCTTATTTTCCCATATATAACTTGGCGTGAAACGTTAACACAATAAGCTTATGTACATATCATTTTAGAGTACCATATATTGATATCCAAGATTCAACGATCAATCCCCGTTTTATGTACCATGTGCTCCCTAACCCGCAATGACTTGCGGAGGATCTTTGAGAAGCTGGACGAGAACAGCGATGGTCATGTTAGTCTCGAGAATATAAACAGACTACTGGAGAATACAGGCTTCCACTTTGTAGCAGAGGAGGTTGAGTCTCTTGTGGGGAAGAAGAAACTTGACTTGGACGAGTTCTTGAAGTTTTACGAGTCCATGTCGAGTAGTGGCAATAGCAGAGGGGGTGATGAAGAAGAAGAAGAAGAACTGGTGAAGGCGTTCGAGGTGTTCGACATGGATGGAGATGGATTCATCAGTGGCCAGGAGGTGGAGTGTGTGCTCAAGAGGCTTGGATTGTGGGACCCCAGGAGCTGCAAAGATTGCGCCTCCATGATCTGCCTTTACGACACCAATCTGGATGGCGTGCTTGATTTCCATGAATTTAAGAACATGATGTTGCTTACCATCCCTTAAATATTAACCTTCCTTCTATTTTTGCTCCCTCCAATTCTCCTTCACTTTTGGCCCTATTTGGTACGTAAGTTTCAATTTAAAGGGATTGAAATTGGAATTAAAAGTGAAATTGAAATTGGGATTGGGAGTGAGAATGAGGTCTTAAAATCATATTTGGTATGGAATAATACTTGCAAGAAATACTTCCTTTTATTTTATTTTATAATTACATATAAGTTATGAAAGACTATAATACCCTTTGAAATTAAAAAAAATGATTACAAGCCCTTTGAAGAAGCCAGTGGTTCTAAAGCAATTTGAGATGTTCTTTGTGCGCATCCTCTTTCTGTTAATTCCTAAGCTTCTTGCTATTCCCATTCATGCACAGATTTCTATTCTTCTTCATGCGCGACAGTCTCTTGCCTCTCCCTCACAAGGACAAAGCCATGTTCTCCTTTTACTTGCCTCATTGATGCCTCCACCACCACGGCCACCAAGTTCAGGACGTATTGGAGCTTGTCGCACTTCAAGGGCAACTGCAGTGACTTCACCAAGCAGATCAAACCTCGCCAAGGTCGCCACCAATGGAGGAAAGACTTGGGTCGTTGGTCATTCTCCTTCTTCTCTCATCTTCAATCTCCTTCTCCCTTCAGATCTGGCGGTGGCACTGGTGGGGGATGGTGTTGGCATCGATAGAGGACTACATCAGCATCGGCGGATGAGAGGGGCATCGGCGTTAGTGTTGCTTGGTTTGAAATTGCATTAAGTGAGTGAGGGTTGAGGGAGAGAGACAAAGGTGAGGGTAATTTAGTCTAAAAATAATCAAATTCAGAATTAATTTTTCAATAACATGGGAGTGATGGTATTGGATAATCCCACCTAGGTGGGATTGGGATTGGAATTAAATTTCTCACTCCCTCATACCAAACATAAAAAGGTAGGATTATTCAATTCCCAATACCAGTCCTACACTCCCAATCCTTCCTACCAAACAAGGCCTTTGTGCATCAAGCTATCAATGCCTACCATTTATATTTATATATTTTTAATTTTGAACCACACGGTTACCATGTTACCTCGTAAAGATATGCTCCTTTTATCTTAAATTATAGGACACTTTTAAAAAAAATTTTCCGTCTTAAAATAGAAGATATTTTGAATAAATTAAGATTTCATTAAATGCGCTAATTTTAATATTATCCTTTCTCTTTCTAAAATTAATTTTCATCCCATCTCTTTTTAATATATTAAATTATGAGTATTTTTATAGTTTATATTTTTGTTTTTGAAAGATATTGTTACATGTATTTAATAAGGCTTATTAGTATGTGAAATTTTATCTAAAAGTGTCTTATAATTTAAAATGGAGGGAGTAATATAAACCATTCCATCAACTTTAATTTCATTTCGCGCAAATATTAGATATATATTAATTGGCTTAACTTATTTTAATTTGATGAAAAGAAGCACCTTTTGTGTGTTTGTGTGTGTGAGAGAGAGAGAGAGAGAGATTAAAGTGTGTGTGTGTGTGTGTGAGAGAGAGAGAGAGAGAGAGAGAGAGAGATTAAAATTTAATATGGTATAAGAGCAATTTCATTTGATACGAGAAAAAAAATAGAAAGAAATAAAATAAATGATAGAGAATAAAAAGCAAACAGATAAAAAAACTAATTAAAAACTAGAACTCAAAAGAAGCGTAAGAGACAAAAAATAAATCAATGAAAAATGAAGGGAAAAAGAGACGGGAAAAAAAAAAGTAGTCACAAAAATATTAGAATATATAAAACAAACTCTCACGTTAATTAATTACATGATGAATTGAAGGTGCATAAGATTAAGACAAGTTCTATTTAAGAATCGCTTGAGCCAATTTGATACGATTTGTCTTGATCTTGTATACTTTCAATTCACTCTTTAATTAATTAATTAATGTAGAACTTTTTAACATGTTCTAATATTCCTCTTATTATTTTTTTCCATTCATCTTGTTTTTTCTCTCCTCGCTTTTCGTTCGTTATTTTTTTATCAGCACAGTGGTGACGTGGAGTTGATATTAGGGTTTGGATATAATAAATAATATAAATTCATTCATTCAATAAATACGACATAATAACGATTATTTAATTTAATTAAATGATTATTATATCAAAAATTTTATCATATAATACACAAAAAGCACTAAATTTCATATTTTGTTAAGGGACATGAATGTTTTAATTATAAGAGTTGTTTTGAATTTTTTAACAGAAATATATTTTGATAACTTTTGAGTGTCCATAAAATTCCATGACTACAATTAATATATTCATTGAGTAATACTTACTCATCAAACCCAAATTGTTTGAGACATTTTTTATCAAACAAAATTGTTCGAGATATTAAGACAGTTTAGAGTAGATTAACAATTTGCTTCTTGAAATATGCTATTATCTTTTTTAGTTTTCTAGTTCAAAAAATGAAAGTTTTAAACTTATCTTTAAAAAATGGTTTTAATAAATTGTTCACCCCAAAAATAAACGAGTTTGACAAATTAAAAAAAAAAATTACCTCACCCGATTGATTCGGTTCATTTTCCATGATGACATTTAATTGTATTTAATGGAAGGTATATTTGAAAATACTAGAATGTTTTAAATTTTTTTTCTGAAACTATAATTTTTTTAATGACATTAACTAATTGCATTGATGTAATACACACACATGCATATATATTAGTTAAAAATACCTTATTAGTAATAATAAATAAAAGGATCCATTTTTTATTTGGAATTAAAAAATGAAATAATAAATTATATATCAAATAAAATCCCATTACTAAGAGGGGATATTTATAAATATCTATGTAATAGATTTTTTTTTTTTTTGAATTGTGAGTTTATGGATTTCAAGTCTTTAATCCAAACTATTCCTTCAAGGCACTTTTTTAAGAAGTATACCTCCAGCCAAGTTGGACCAATCTCTTTGTTAGTTAATTCAAATATTTGGTGGTCTCTGTTCTACATTTTAACATAACACTCTTGTCCATATATTTATTTAAACAAAAACTTAATTGTTCTTATATTTTTGTTTTCACTAAAAATGTTATCGTTTATTAAAAAAAACTAAAAAAATATTCTAGAACCGGGCTCGTGCCTCCCAAGGCCCAACAGGTCAACCCCCAATACTACAAGACACTGAAGACAACGCCGTCCATTTCACTGTCATGTCGCACAGCGACTCACAAGTGGTCCTCCTCGCGCGAAAGCCACTCCTCCTGTCATCTGTAGTCTCACTTCCCAAACATCACTGTTCCGGCAGTGAATTATAATCTTTTGAAACTCGAACAGGATATCAAACCGGAAAGAATAATAGATTGTGATTTTTATAGTCTAACCGGTTATATCGGCGGTCTGATGACATAAAAATTAAATAAAAAATAAAATTTATATGCACAATTATATAAATAAATTATTAATTTATCAATAATGCTTGGGATCTCAACCCTAAAAGCTAGATACTTGAATTGTTGGAGTTAGAGATAGAAGTATATCAGTATAAGCTTGTGATCTCAAAAGAAAATGTTGGAGCTGGAGGCATGCCGTCATGTCATGACTCACAAGCTTTCGATCTCGATGCTAAAAGTTGGATATTTAGAGTTGGAGGCAGATATTGGAGGAGAAGTTAGAGATTGAGTTTGGGCCATGAAGGAGAGACTAGAGATTAGAGAATAGAAGAAAAGATAGAATTAGTGATTAGAAAAGAGAAATTGTGAATCTAAACAACTAAGCATAAATTTCTTTTTTTTTTAATTTTTTGGCTTTAAACCGGGTTGACCCGTATCTGATTTTCGGGTCAACGCCGGTTCTCTCAAAATCGGCTGGTTCAATCCGGGCCAACCCAGGTCAAAGGTCATATTGGTTCAATTGGTTGAATCAGACCGTTTTGTTCAGCGGGTAACGGTCGGACCGCCCGGTCTGGTTTTTCACAACATTGGTGAATTATATTAATTGAATTAAATGTCTTACATTGAAATGAAAATATGAAATTATTGATTAAGGAGGGGTCTATCATTTACAAGGTGTTCATGGTGAACAATAAATACCAGGTGTGTCAGAGACGTTGAGTCTCAATTGATAACAAAAAGGTCCTAAGCTTTCTTATTACAATTCACTCGAATATAAAAAGATACAAGGTTTTGGTAGAACAAGTGTTTGATTTTATTGAAATGTGAAAAAGTTATAGATCTAAACTGAAAGATTAACTGATAAAATGAAAAGCTAAAAAGTATAAAATTGTGAGTTTTTGATTAAGTGTTCACTAGTTTCTTCCGTGTCTTCATTTTCTATTTATAATTTCATAGTGGTGGTGGCCTCTTCTTCAAGACCTAGTACATTTTGTCAAAAAATTAAGGATTTTGCGAAACTCATAGCACAGTCTTTATTCCATGTTTTCTATTTTGGTAATCAGCCCGTTTCACCAAAATACTTGGACATGAAACCTGTAGATTCCGACATTACTTGAGATCATATCTTTCGTGCCAGTGATCTAATGCTTATAGCTGATGAAATTTCAGCATGTTTATTTATTATGGTCTTTATTGAACATCAAGGCCGGTCCTTTTTGTTTATATTGGGTTTGACATTTCAATAATTCAACCTAATAAATCATGTGATTTATTTGAGCGACGTTTTATATTTAGCCCAAATAAAAAGACAATCCTTCAACAGCCATGACTCAAGTTGGTTTTTTATGTTTTCAAAAATCTATTTGATCTATATTTAGAATGAATGTTTATTAAATTCAATCAATGATTGCTTCTTATAAATGTATTTTAAAAAAAAAACACAAATTGAAAACTAAACATGCACCAATTTAAGTTGGCATAAGTGCAATCAGATTTTTTATTAATTAAGTAAGTAATCAGAATTCAAGTTTGTTTTGGCTTTTCTTATTCAATAGGGTGGTAATGGTTTTTTCTTCTTTTTATTTTCCTCTGTTTATGGGGGAAAAAAAAGAATTCAAGTTGGTGTATCATTTTAGTCGAGAGAGTTGTGTATTTTCTAGCTTACGAGTATTTTGCAATTTTGCTTTCATATTTTTAATAGATCAATATCAACGTCAAACTAAATTTTTTTATATATTTAAATTTATAATTAAGAATAAAATATTATGCTCAGAGAGGGGAAGATACAGGCACAGATTAGGACACTCCCATGCATGGAGTTGGCTTCTTTCACTTGAGCCTTCCCTCTATTACCCCTCATCTGCACTACATGACAAATCGGAATCGTATAGATTTAATTTGATAGACGAAATTTATTTTTTTTTATTTTTATTGTATATTTATTAAAATAAAAAATATTAAAAATATAATAATTCTGCTAAATCACTAATGAGGCAAAACAAATTTAATGTAGATAATTTAAATACAATATTAAATTAGAATGGTCAGATTAAATATGTACCGTATATATTGATAAAAAGTATTGATAATTTTTATAATTATTAAATTTTTTAATAAATATAAAATGAAAATAAATAAAATAAATTTGAACCCTCCGAATTTTACACAAAGGACAGGCAGTGGAGGGAAAGGTGAACCCAGTGAAGCACATGGCCAAATCGATGATCCATTCTATTCTATATTCGTTCACGTGGTCGAGCCTTGTTACGGTTACGGACAGCCCCGTCGTTCTTTTGGCCTCCGTTCATCTTTTTCCCTCACATGCTCCATAGCAGATAAACCAACCCCTATAGTATAGCCTGCAATTTTCTCCCTCCGCCTCTCCTGCCAGGGTGATCATGAAATTCTCAGGCATTTTACCCGTTGATCTCCTTAAAACCTCTGCTTTCGTCAAACTTACGGCCTTCGTCCTCATCTCTCTATCCCTCATATTGGTCTTGAACCATTACTCTTCCACTTACTCCTCCCGCACCTTCTTCTCCGGCTCCGCTTCCCTCGACAATTCTTCCTTTACTGTTTCGTCGCCGGGCCGATCTCCGGTTCCTCCGCCTCGCCAGAAAGTATTCGCGGTGCCTTCGCTGCCGCCAGTGGAGAGGATGGGCGTTGTGGACGACAACGGTGTGATGTCAGATGACTTCAAAATTGGAGAGCTTGATGCGACTTTGATACAGGAATTGGGTACTTTGAGCGACATGCGAGTGGAGAAGGAGGGGGAAAGTGATGTCATAGTTAGGATTGAGAGGTTTAAGGTTTGTGACCCAAGCATGACTGATTATATACCTTGCCTGGACAATGATGAATGGATTAAGAGGCTGAATTCAAGCCAGAGGGGGGAAAAGTATGAACGGCATTGTCCTGAGGAAGGCATGGGGCTTAATTGCTTGGTGCCAATGCCCAAGGGGTACAAGAGTCCACTACCGTGGCCCCAGAGCAGAGATGAGGTACTTTTCGAGTTGGAACTGTGTAAGTTTATCAGTTATTTTATCCTTTTATTGTTTTGCGATGTTTAAGTGTAATTTTAATTGCATGGCGTGTGATGTTGTTCCTGAACTTTTTCACATATTTTTTGAATGGAAATTGAAACTATACATTACTCATGAAAATACGTACTAGATACAACAATTAATTCCTCTCATCATCCACTGCCTCTGAGTTGGGAGGTAGTGAGTGGTCGATTAAAGGTCCCAAAAGCGTCAAACCTATTCAATTCTAAATTAATAATGGAACTGAGCCTCTGGTCACTCTCTGTGTTGGCGAAAAGAATGGACACAGACCGACCTTTCACAAAAATTGGTCTGACTTCCTCTAGCAGATAGATAACTATCTATCTGACTCAGAGACTGTGAAAGGGTCTTCTTTGGCTCCTGTTTAAGGCTTACTGGACTCTATTTTTAACATGTAAAAGCAAAAATCGGAAGTCTTTGGGATGTGCTGAAAATTAAAAGTGGAAACTTTAGATACAGTATTGGACTTGTTCAGATGAATGGGTTAAATGTCAGTTGGTGGAGGGGGTGATATTGGAATTGATGATGAAACAGAGACACGGTGTTCAGCTAATTTCTTATAATGTACAGTACGTATGATTTCTTCCTTTGCAATGTTTACCTCAATTTCTTATAGAACTGGAGTTTATGCTTCAGAAGATAAATAAGCAGTAGCCAGTCAATTGGCATGGGAGGTAAACTAAAATAAAGATAATTTGGCCGCAGTTGAAAGTCCCTGTACAGTTAGGCATCCAAGGTGGTTGACAGGGGCATTGAATTTTCTTAACTCACATCATTAACATAATCTAGAAAAGAATATTCTTCATTTCATGTCTTGTGCATTTGAAGTCATGATTCTATGGTTAACTTGTTAGTTTCAATTTTAAACATTTTTCCTTTTGGTATTCATATAAACATACTTATTAATTCTATTTTAGTAGATGCATTTGTTTCATTATTGCACGTCGTGACTGTTTCACCATTTCAGTTTGAGAAGAGAAATCTTCAAGTTACTTTCTATGTAATCACAGGTGTGGTTCAGTAATGTACCTCACACACGTCTTGTTGAAGATAAAGGGGGCCAAAATTGGATAACTATAAAAAAGGATAAATTTGTCTTTCCTGGTGGTGGAACACAATTTATTCATGGTGCGGATAAATACCTGGATCAGATTTCAGCGGTTGGTGTCAATTTTTATTAAGATGTTTATTGATACATAGCATAGACACAACACTTTGATCACTTTTGAAATGAATGTGTAGATGGTTCCTGACATTGCATTCGGTCACAGCACCCGAGTTGCTTTAGACATTGGTTGTGGAGTGGCAAGTTTTGGTGCTTATTTGATGCAACGTAATGTCACCACTCTTTCAATTGCACCGAAAGATGTTCACGAAAACCAGATTCAGTTTGCTCTAGAGCGTGGTGTTCCTGCCATGGTAGCAATTTTTTCTATGCACCGTTTGCCATTTCCTAGCCAGGCTTTTGACCTGATTCATTGTTCAAGATGCAGAATCAATTGGACACGTGATGGTATTACTTTTCCTCCCTTGCTGCATTCCATTTAACCCTTTAATCCTGCACCTCCGGTGCTGGAAAGGAAATTATATTAAGCTATTTAGAACCACAAGTTTCTCAGTATTTACATTTTTTCTCAAAGAAAAAGAAAAGTCCTGAATGAGATGACTGAAACATCTGTGAAAAATTTAATACCTTCTGGAGAATGCTAGTTTAAATGCCCCACGCATCTACACAGTGAAAGAGTGATATACTTGTATTTAAAATTAACTTTTATGGCTACATTTCTTTGCACTGAGATCCCATTTTTCCTTGGCTTTCGTAAAGATGGAATTTTGCTTCTGGAGGCCGACAGGCTGCTGAGGGCAGGTGGATACTTTGTCTGGGCTGCACAACCTGTTTACAAGCATGAAGAGATCCTCCAAGGTCAATGGAAAGGTATCTTCACTGATCAACTTTTCTATTCAATGATTTGATGCTTCTCTCTGAGTCGTCCTACTTCTATATGATAACTCCAGGTCTGAGAGGTCCAAAATTTTTAAATGACTTGAATATTTCATGATATGAAATATTTAGCTTCTTTTTGGACTTTGTTCATAGGTATAGGTAGGGAATCATGGTTTTTGGATTGATTACATAGCAGAAATGGAGAACCTAACTGCGCATATTTGCTGGGAGCTTGTGAGAAAGGAGGGATATATTGCTATATGGCGGAAACCAATGGACAATAGCTGCTACCTTAGTCGTGACATTGGTGTGCAGTCTCCACTTTGTGACTCCAATGATGATCCAGATGAAGTTTGGTATGTCCCAAATCTCAATCATAGTGTTATTCCTGGCCTTATGATGCTTTAACTGGAATGTAATGGCAATAGAGTGGAAGGTGTTAAAGATTAAAGGAGCTTTTGCAAATATAACTCATGTTATAGGACCAAATCAAGCAAATAACCCAACAATTATTATATTTTGCATTATAGCCGATTTATTATATTTGTCAATGATATACCGTTGTGTATCAATGATAAACTATGTGTAAATTTTCAAAATTTTAGTAATAAATTCCTTGTATATCAATATGAACCAGCTATACTCTCAAATTTTCAAAAATTTGGTTCACATTTTCTAGACACAAGATTTCTTTTTTCCAGCCAGCAGGCCAATTTATTCAAGATTAAATGTCCTCTTAAATAAGTTTTTTGAAATTTTATTTATGGACTTATAACAGTTTGGACATTATATTTGGATTCTTTATTTATAAAGAAGACAAGAAAACTATAAAATATAAATTAGGTGATTACTCATTGAGAGAAAAGTGCAAAGCACGATGAACACTCATAAATATTTAATTTGTAGCTAGTCAAAGGAAGCATAAGTCTTATTTATAGATCATCTGGAATATTGCAAGCAATTAACTTGATAAAAATTTGAGGTATAGACTTACATTTGATGAATGAAGATCAAAACTCATGATAGCTGGAAAATTTTGCAGGTATACTGACCTTAAGTCATGCATCTCTAGATTACCTAGTAGTGCTTGTGGAGCTAATGTTTCTAAGTGGCCTGCACGCCTTCATCAACCACCAGACAGGCTTCAGAGCATTAAAATGGATGCCCATATCTCTAGGAAGGAACTTTTCAAGGCTGAATCAAAATATTGGAAGGAAATAATAGATAGCTATATTGGAGCTTACCATTGGAAGGAATACAACCTAAGAAATGTTATGGACATGAGGGCAGGTTTTGGGGGGTATGGAATGAACCATTGATTTCTTTTTGTGTTCATGTCATTTATTAGTTATGGATTTTTCGTAGAGTGATTTTCTAATCTTGCATTTATCCTTGTGTGTATGACGAGTCACTTTCTTTTGACAATAACAGGTTTGCAGCAGCTCTGCATGATCTTCAGATTGATTGTTGGGTTATGAATATTGTTCCTGTTAATGAATTCAATACCTTGCCTGTTGTATATGACCGTGGACTGATAGGAGTGATTCATGATTGGTATGAAATTTGCGTTTATGATTTTGTTAAGCTGCTTACATTATGATTATAGATTTGCTTTGTGATGACTGCAAGTTTGCAACTTATACTAAACTTGACATTTTCATCTTATAGTGGCATTTGAGTTCTAAAGGACCTTCTCGATTTATATGGAACTGGAATATATCCTGCTTTACTGTTGTTGTTTTATTATGTTGGTAGGTGCGAACCATTTGACACATATCCAAGAACCTATGATCTGCTGCATGCAGCGGGTCTTTTCTCTGCTGAGAAAAAGAGGTATGTCACTTGGTCCATGCTTTGATCCCTCTTTTTGCTTGTTGATACGTTCATATTTCATACAAGCACCGTTTGTAGGGGTCTGAAATGTTCATCTGTCTCAGGAAAAGGTGCAATATCTCAACCATCATGTTGGAGATGGATCGAATGTTAAGACCTGGTGGGCGCGTATATATACGGGACTCCATATACGTTATTAGCGAACTTGAAGAAATCGCAAATGCCATGGGCTGGGTGAATTTCCGGCATGACGTGGGCGAAGGTCCTTATGCTAGCTGGAAGATATTAAGATCTGAGAAGCGCTTCTGACAAGCTTAATGGTGTCAATATAAATCATGTGGATGTTAACAAAAGGAATATGATAGGTATAGCTGTCTGAAATCTCATGGTGCGCCAGAAATAGGCTACAAGCCGACAACTAAACTAGGCAACGGCGCATCTCCCTTCAAAAGCCAATCTGGAATCCCTGCCAAGATGAAGAGGTTCTTATTGAGATGTACATCCCCGATTTTTCTTTTTCATGCCAGATATTATTATTTTGCTTAATGAGGACAAGGTTTTCCAAGCACAAACAGGGGTGCACATGGGCCGGATATTACCATTGCCTGTGCCCAACCCAATATGCAATTCGGGCCAGGTTTGGCCTATACAATTATTATCATTTGAAATACATTAAAAGCACTTATTTTAAGAATTATATATGCTCAACAATTATAAATTATTTTTATTTAACATTTAGTTAAATATGAGGTTTAAAATTTTGAAGGAGATTAAAACAATTTAAATGATAAGAAATGTTTATAAAAATTATAAAAGTAATGTAGTATATGATAACTCAAAATATAATACAATGAAATAATTATTTAAAAAAATAAAATAAAATTACACACTGGAGCTGTGTTGGGCAAGGCTTGACTCTTGTCCGGTGTGCAGCTTGAACATTTCTAGGCTTACTTATAGTGAAATTTGTGACTACAGTTTATTTCAATATTTAGTAATAATTGACCAATGAAAGGGAAGAGAAATGAGACAAAATGCATATTCAATAGAAGTTTTTCTTTTATTTTCAGAGCGGTTATTAGAACAAGAATTTCACAAAAAAAAATATAGAATATCTAGCAAATAGAAATGAATAATTTTTATTTGACGAAAAATGCCTCGGATAATTTTTTCTATTTTTATTATTGATGATTCTTTGTCTTTGATATCAAGACAGAGATTAAGAAACATAATGTACAGGATATTATTGATAATTCTTTTTCTTTGGTATCAATACAAAGATCAAGAAACATGATATACAGGAAATTATTGATAATTCAATAGATGTATATAACATGCAAAAATATATTATGGCTATTTGTCCAACATTTTTTTCTCATTTATATATTCATTTTGTTTAAGTAAACAATTAAATGTTGGTAAAAAAATAAACAATTAAATGGAAAAACATTTCCAGTAACTTTCATATATCGCCAAACATGATTATAAACGTAAAAGGATTGTTTGGCTTGCAAATTAGAATAGAATATAATTTTATAATTCAAAAAATCTTGTGTTTGTAAAATATAATAATAAAAAAGGCATTTACTCTATTAAATTATGATAATATAAATACAAAAAATAAATTTAAAAACTTATGATAGTTTTATTGTTAAACTACAAACTTTAGATATTGGCACAAAGGAAAAACTTAAATATTTATCATTATAGACTTAATATGGTTGTCTACAATGAAATCATAATAATTGATATATGAATATTTTATAGATTATTTATTTTATAATAAATTTTTATTATTAATTTTATTAACACAATAAGATTTACTTATCATGATTTGATTGAATATAAATATAATATATATATATATATATATATAGAAGTATAGAAGTTTTACTTTTTGCAAAATCACTTGTACATAAGTTTGGGTGTGTCATAATATAGATTTGAAATTTTTTTAAAAAAAATGTCAATAACTTAAAATTTAATGATTTTACATACCCTCTCTCCAGTGTTTTTAACCAAATCTCCCATATTAAAAAAAATATTATTATTTAATTAAAATCACATTCATAATGGTGGTTGATGAAATACATAATTAATCTAATAATATAGATTTGAAATTTTTTAAAAAAAATGTCAATAACTTAAAATTTAATGATTTTACATACCCTCTCTCCAGTGTTTTTAACCAAATCTTCCATATTAAAAAAAAATATTATTATTTAATTAAAATCACATTCATAATGGTGGTTGATGAAATACATAATTAATCTCTTTTTTCCTTTTTTGAAAAACAAGGACAAAATTGATAATTAATATCTTTTTTCCATTTTAAAAAACAAAAATAAAATTATTTAATTACTCAAAAATATCATGACACCCTTTATATTAAAAAACATAATAAGTTTTTACAATCATCTTATATAAAAAAAATAAAAGGAGTATATCGCATCCCAAAAAAAAAAAAAACGCTTTCAGGAAACGTGACCGACAAGATGAAACAAACTTGAAAGAGGGGCTGGATTAATGGGGTATGCCAACAATACATTCATTTACATTTCAGGCATCCACAAAATAATCGCCAGTCAAGGATATCAAACTTGAAGAAATGAATGGCCATTACTTTGCCTATCAGGACATTGATTCTTTTTTTTTTTTTTTTGGGGTAAAAAGGACGTTGATTCTTAGTTCCTTCTGCCCTTTTGCTATTTCTTTTTGAAAGATTTCTTGCTGGCTGCAGTATTAACCTGTTTTGAGAGATAAGCTTCATAGATTTCGACCACAATACGAGGGTTACTCTCCACCAGATCCTCATACTCCTCACGCTTAGAAAGCTTGTCCATGTTATCTGTGATTAATCCCAAGGATGCATCTAGTAATTGTTTAGCATTGTGTCGGTGAGCAAAGGCATAATTCGCGACTGCTTTTTCCCAGTTCAATCTGGCCATCAAATACTTTTCACAATATGCCTTGAGATGCTTCACCTGATACTTTTCAGCTAAAACTAACAGTTCACAGGCCATTTGGTCATCAAGGCATGCTTCTGCAGTGTATAAATAATCAACAAAGGCACGAAGAGCATTGTATGATACATCACTGATCTTTATGGTACCGCTTCGTCTTTCCTCCATATCATTTTCAAGCATTGCTCTGAACACTGGGGAGCGACTCACCTAATCACATAATATTAACGAGATGGCATCAAGTTCAGTTAGATTACAGCAAGATAACTATCCTATCCATGACTCAGCAACAATAGTTTTTTGGTTTATCATACACCCAAAAGGCCAAAATGAACACGGAAAAGGATCTAAGTTTACAAGTTATAATTACAGTGCATGTCCCTTTGGTTATAGATACAGCAACCCAGATTTTTTACATTCATAGAGTGGATGTATATAGTGCATTTGGAGAAAGATAAAGAGAGAAGAGATTATGAGAGTAATAATAAGATATAAACCTTATATATAGTCTCATTCCTTTGTGTCACTTTTTTTTCAGAATATATGAATGCACGAATGCAAGGATGTAATTGAAAACAAAAGGCTTGAAAGTTAGAAAAAGGACCATGCTGAACACACACACACAGATTACTGATATACGGACCATGCATGGCTCAGTACATAAAATCCATGTAGTATGGACGGATTTAGATGTGCATCTCATATAGTAACATGAGGCTCCATTACCGGAATTCCCCAAGTAAAGTTGAAAAGAAGAAAAGAAGCCAGATTTGGAAGAAAGAACTGTCACTCATGCTTGCTACTTGCTACTCCAGGGAGACTTAAATGAATGTTTAATCATCAATGTACAATCCATGATACATGCTTGACAGCTGACAGAGCAATTACAATTTATAAGAATATATGCATGCTCTGATGATAATCTTACCACCAGTTCAGATAGCTAGCCTTTTAGGAACAGTACAGCATTAAATTCAACAATTTGTTGAAGTTCTTGCAAGGGATTTTTAGAATTCCTTCATAGCCTCAAAGCATTATTCATATGCTTTGAGATGTGAAAAATTGCTGATTTGTTTGACAGTCTTCAAAAGTATTAAAATATACAAAAGCAAGCATAATGAGCTTCTCCAATTCTTTGAAGATCGATAAGCTAGGAGGGAAAAACAAACATGAAGGTTGTACTTCTTGCCGCTTTATCTTCCTCGTTTATTTTTATTGCAACGAGGCACACCCAAAATCTGTGTGATTCTCCCAGTTCCCAAGAAGATCAAAGCGCTTGCCAAAGCGCAAGTGAAAATTGATTATTTCAAAAAATTGCATCACCCTATTCTCAAATTTGATGCTTTTAACAACAGAGCAGAAAGCATGAAACCCTTAACAAGAATAATTTGACAAGAATACATGATAACAAACCTTTTGCCAGGCTCAATCTAGAGAATACAGTGATCCAATCATGTTATTAGCTTGTTAGCAGTAACAGATCAGATTACAATCATCTAAGTACCCTCGATTAATTTGTTGAAAATATGAATCCTGATGTTAACAAGTGAACAATAGAAAGGCATATTTTATTGTTCATTAATATGAATGCTAAAACACCACAGCAGGGGAAGAGAAAACTCCCGCCCCTCTAGTGAATAGAAAAAGAAGCATAACAGATAAAGTAGGACAAAGCACAAGAATCCATAGGCCAAATATTCATCAAATCCTCTCAATAAAATCCTATTTTTTCTATTCAAATCAAAATCGAGTAGAATCACACTGCAATTACTGCTCGTCGAAAAAAGTTTTTTGCCGTCAAAATCCAAAATTTGCCTCACCCCCGGCGGGTAGCCACATGTTAAATCGAAATAGCACTTAAGGAAAGTAAGTTTAATGGGAAAATTCATAAACAACTAAGTAAGGAGATACTGACCAGAACAACCTTGTGAGCCGGAACAGTCAGGGAGGGTAGATCAGAAGTCTCATCGGAGGGAACCAAAATAACGTCAGAATCGGAGCGATTGTGGTGATCAATTGGAGGCAAAAGGCTGAGGAAGGCAACTTTGGCCTTCAAGTCGTCGATCTCAGTCTTGAGCTCCTCCTCGGTCTCGTTAGCTTCTTCGTAGCACTCCCTGCAGGTGCCGGCGTCTCCCGGAACGTAATAGTCCTGGCACGAAAGGCAATACATTGAGTTTTCGCCATCGGTTTCCTGCATTTCCTCGAACAGGGACATAAGCAGCGAGCCCGTGACCCGCTAAATTCAACACTGCTTTTCCTCTGGATAGGCCTTAGGCTTTGAAGGGAAAAGGCGTTGAAAAGTGTAACCCATGGGATGGTAAAAAGTAAAAACAAGGGGTTCAGATATACTTTTATTCTTAAACTATTGTTAAAGAGTAATATTACTTTTAAATTATTTAATATAATAATATAATTTTTAAATTAATTAAATTAAAGTAATATTATCTTCATGTTTAAAAATTATAAATGGCTGTTAATTAGAGAGTGAGGCCCACTTTTTTGATACATTTGCAAGTGATTGCAATACTTATTGGCTTTCATACTGTCTCTTGCAATAACATGTGGACTATCTGAACAATACCACTGTATCAGCATTCTCACTTATTTTGCTTGAAATTCCTCACAGTGTTTTCTGCAAACACAAGTTTACTCTATTTTGCAAAAACAAAACAAAGTATTAGCTTAGAGTCAAACTCACATTCAAGGCTCTTGCCTTGTTCAGAGTTTCGTATCTATCTCCACACATCACTTTGTTTATCAATTCATTGTGCTCCGCATTTGCCTCCGCATAGCCCTGGATGTCCTTCTTATAAGCCTTTGTGAACAATAATGTCTCATTCGCCCAAACCTTGCTATTCAAATTATGCCATAGCATCAGCATCACGAGAGCCACCATGTTGTCCTTGCTCTTCTTGATTAGAAGCCAAGAGAGAGGGGTGTGGACATAGGTGAGCTGAGGCGACCGCCATCATGAGTTATGAAAACTTGTTTAAAGATGGTTCAATAGGTGAGGAAGTGCATGATGTAGTACAACATGAAAGGTCATGGGAGGTTGGTGGTTTTCAATGGCCTCGATTATGTCATGTCAAGTTTAATGGAGCATTTTACAATTGCTATCTTGACCATCATATTTATTCATCCCGACTAATCATCACAACAAATTCCTACTAGAAGCTCTGCTTCTTCTTCGGCCATACATGACCTTCATTTATTGTTGGAGTGAGTTGAAAATTTAAAACTTTGAAACTTGAAACTTGTGATAGCAATGTGGGAGGAGGAGGGGGAGGCTTGAAACCATGAGACAACACCAATAATGGTGAGGAGAAGGATGAGCCAACATCAAATAGCCGGGAACTATTAACAACGAGAGTAAGAGGGATCTTCAAACAAAAATGACAAGATCTTTGAATACAAGTGTGGCATAGAAAACAGAAATGGAGAGGTCTTCAAACAATAATGCATGCCGAAAAAAGTGGGTCCCATTGATTTCGCTTGACAAACGTTTATGCTTTTAAATGGTAAAGCAATATTATTTCAATTTAATTAATTTAAGGGCTACATTACTACATTAAATAGTTTAGCAGTAACATTATTCCTTTATAAATAATTTAAGGACAAAATTGTACCTTAATTCTAAAAACAATTTTAATATACCAAAAGAATAATTTTTTTTTAAATCTTACTTGCACTTACCCCTCCCAAATATAGGGCATATGCCAAGTTAATGGATTTGTTTAGTCTTAAATATTGGATCTTAAAAAAAATTCCCTTATTTAATTTTAAAAAAAATTATCTTAATTAATTTTATAGTCTCTCATTCTTTTTATCTCTCACATTTAATATCCTGGGGGATATTTTAAGAAAAGTGGCACCTTTTTTACAAATAAATAATTAATAATTTAACTAATTTTTTATATCCATAAATTAATTAAATATATCTCATTTTAGGACCTAATGGAATGTAATGAAATAATGAATACATTATATTATTCAATTATCTTTAAATTTCTAATTCCAATTTTATAAAAACCATTTTATTTTGGAAGTAGGGACAATCACACTTAAAACCATGTAAGTAACTATATCCTCCAATTATATATATATATATATATATATATATATATTTAAGTCTTAGAAAGTTTCTTGAGGTTAAAAGGTAAATTACAAAAGTAACCATGAGCTTTTCCAAAATAATATTGGACCACCTAACACACATGATTATGTAAGCGCACACGTGTGTGTAAAGAAAATCTAGTCTACAAACCATTAAAAAAATAATATAATTTTAAATTTCAAAATAATAATTGTTAATATATGTTATGTGTGAGCTGCAAATCCTAAAAGGCCACTTGTATACACTTCTAATTTTTTTAAGAAAAAATCATATTCTAATATATTCCATTTATAAATTTCTAAAGGTTAGCTGTATTTGAATGATTCTTTAGAAGACATATACCCAAACGCATGATATATTTGTAAATTGAAAGGAATAGTTATGAATATTTTTTAAGTAAATTGATGCTAACTGGTAACTAATTGGCTGGGGTTGAAATGTTAGAAATTAATTTTCACTGAATGATAAAATGCCCGCTCCATCGATAATCAGAGGAGCGATACTCAATCTTCAAATTTTCATTACCACTTTTATAAATACCCTTTTGTATTTTGCGACTCCTGATCGTCTAAGTAGCGATTTCAATTTTATCTAGCCAACGGTAGGTATCCATGATCTTTATATCATTTCTCAATCACTGGATGCTTGCAAATTCTTGAAGGAGCAAATCTTGACCAGTGATCCGTCCTGAATATTGCGCCGGACCGTATATACTATATAGATCCTACATCGATAACTTATAACGCACTGTCACATCCTGATCACGTCAACATTAATTTGCAGGGAGGAAACTTCTACTGGAGAGATCGTCTGCAACAGGGAAGGGAATGTCAACCAGAAAGGTTTCTTAAACGTCTGACCCAAATTTTATTCGGCAAGTAATTTATTATTGAACTGTTAAATACAGGGGGAGTTTGCATCAGGATGTCCAAGAACCTTCCATCGGTCATCAGTGTTACGTCAAACTTAACTATGACTATGACAACTGACAATACCTGTCCATGCCAATGAACTATGCATGTGAGGATCCAGCTGCTGAGAACACAACTGCGATGACCAAGTTCTCTCCTTCAGGCGCTTTCATCTTTATCACCAACCGCATATCGATTTTTAGAATTACTCAAGCCTGCTGAGTGGAGTTGCTTTCTCTTCTTTACAAGACGTAATGCAGTTTTTCGGTCTTCTTGCGCATCCGCGCAATCGGGCTGCGCATGCCAATACACTTTGTGAGATATCAGAGAGAAACACTAGTGATAAAGTTCAAGTATCAAAAGGGATACATTCACCTTGGATAAGAGCCAGATTTTCTATCAAAAGGGATACTTCCATTTAGAATGAAATTCCTGATCCGCCAGACTGAATAAGTTTCTCAAACACGGAATTCATTGAGATTTTGCTAATTGAAAAAAGTTACCATGCATAAGAAACACTTGACAGCTAAAATTTAACTATAAAGTGTTTCTTATAAATAGGCCGGTAGTATCATTTAATGGCACTGAAATAATTAACTTCAACTGGAAATTGCACTGGGATGATATCAACCATAAGGAAATCAATCTATTGGGTTTTTAAATTCTATTTTCTATATCACATGATTTACCAGCATGATCAGATTTGAACAAAATCAAAACCAAAAGCTAAGATCAATGATATTCTTGAAGATTAACCTTGATAGATAGGGCTCTGTCAAAGCTCACAATAGCACAATCAGGCTCGCCAAAATTTAGCTGTGCTCTGCCAAGCGTGACCCATGCCTGAACAGACCGAGTTATATATGAATAAAAGTTAGAGCTTAGAAAGAGATTAACATTACACCACGCAGAGTGACTATATATAATCCATTATCAAACAATAACAGATAAGCTGCAGCGCCAATATTTTAATCCAAACAAAAGACAAATGCTTTCATAGGTCCAACAAATAAAACCCGATGATGATTTTGTCTTCTGATACAAAACAAAATGACAATATCCAGAGATAAAAGATATAAGCCAGGGGAGGCATTTACAGAATCAAAAAGGATAGATAAAGCATCTAGAGGAATTTCATGTCACTCAAAAAAAACTTAAAACTAACGTGAGCTTGAGAGGAGTTTGGATCCAGCAACTTCCAGTTCTCAGCTCTAGCTGTCTCAAACAAGAGAAATATTTCACTTGGCTTTGAATCTAATTTCCTGGACTTGCCATGCCAGCTACTTTCCAGTGTTAATTATCCTTCATCACTCTCAAGGCACACCATAACAACAGATGCGAATCAATCATAAAAAATGCAGCTGTTTTGTGTACATGATGACAACAATGACCTTTAAAGATGTGTTTATTGATTTACGATGAGCAGAAATTGCTTATGGCCAGACCAGAACATGACTACATGAGCCAGTCGAGTAATCAATGTTTACTCCACATTGTAATATGAAAGAATTTGAGCATCACAATAAGAAAACCAGACTTTATTATCAAACTGACCGTAAAAAAACAATTATCAAAGCCTATTTATCTTGACTAGGTTGAGAAGCTTCTGACAAGGTCTTTCAAATGCCAGAAACCAACTACGACGCTTTAAGAATTAAAATTTCTAGGCCAAACGTACAAATTGAAGCATTTTAGATAACTGTAACCAAAAAAGAATTACAAGCTATTCATAGAGATATTTTAAGGATCTTTCCTTGAAAACAATGATGTACCGTTTTTACAAGGCTCACATAATTCACTATTAATATAAACATCATACCTCAGCCCACGACGGCTGCAATTCCGTAGCTCCTGCCATATAGAAGCAGTGAATGAGCATATTGAGCACCAAGTCAATAGTGCTTTGAGTAAATATATGCCAAAAAATGTGGCCCCCAAACTCCAAAACATGATTAAAATTGGAGGCAGAAAGGCTTCCAGCCGCAGTCCAAAAGAGCTTTTCAATAAGTTTATAGCTTAAATAAGGGTATTAGAACACACCAAAAAAGATTAACGGTAGCAGAAACTGTTCATTTATTTTATTGAATCTAGGAATTCAAGATATAATTACGTACACTTAAAATGAAAAATATTAAGAATAAAGAGCAGGGACACACGCATCGCAGCCTTCAAAGCATTCCAAGCATCTCCAATTTCCAGTAGAACTTGGGCCTTCTGTTCGTGTAATACCGCAACTTCAGGTGTCAGTGACAGAGCAGACTCCCATTTACCTAATGCTTCCGCGTACTTCCCATCCTGCATGAAAGGATATGGTGTAGGTAAAAAAGACATAACTTTCACTCAAAGTAACAACTGCTTGCCACTGCTAAAGTCATGAATATGAGATTGAACTTTTCCAAGAGCATTGTAACGGATAGAAGCAAAGATTTCTATCGAAAGATATCTCAGAGCTGTAACAGAAAAGTTACAGAAACTGACGAAAATTTGCAGAAAAATAAAAGAACATTCCAACGAAAACAATAATAAGCATTTTGCCTCAAAATATTGTTTATCTAAATGAAGCAAAAAGACTATACAAGAGCTAAGACCCTTAATATAATGCATCTAATCTTTTAAGCTACAAAAAGGTGTTGCTCGTAATGCAAGGGGATTTGTAATAGTAGTTACTTGGAATCAGTAAACAACTACCTAATTAAACGCTGCCGAGTGGTGAACTGTAGAGAAACATCACGACTTCTAAAGGAATTCTATCCCCCGCCCTCCCAAAAAAAAAAATTGAACTGAGAGATGTGGGCAGAGGTAGTACCTCAGCAAGCCTGTCTCCCTGAGCTTGAAATTCTTTGGCCAGACGTCTTGCTTCCGATAAGTTGGAGTACTGGGGACTATCTTGGTCTTTGGATTGGTCAGAGTTACGAGAACCGATTTCGGCATCTTTATCGCCCTGCAAACGAGCACGGTCTTGGTGAGGAGTCTCATCCTCCTCTGGATGCTCAAAAGGAAGGTTACCAAAGTTGGACACCGCCGACAAAGAACGTTTCTTGCTGTTCTTCCACGTCACTTCCATTTCCCTCTTTCTTCCCATTCTTCTCGTCTTCCTCCTACCTTCCCCTCGCTCTTCCAAGCTTCGCGTAATCTTGAATCTTGATACGCCGTTGGCCCAAAAAGAATCTTGATAGGCCTGTTTCCGTTTTGGCAACCCAGACCGATATTCTATTACCTTCCTTTTGGGTCTGAACTCTCGAGGAAGAAACCCAGGTAGGTATTTGGTTTTTTTAAAAAAAAAATTTTACACGATCCAGCAGCGAAAAACCCTTGTAACATGAAATATGTTGAAAAAACTTAGGCATTTCAACTTAATATACTTAACCAACTTTCTTTCAGTTAAATAAAAATAATTATTTCTTATTGCATATTGATTACCTAGTAAATGACTCTTGTTGGTGACACTTTAATATATTTCTGAGTTATGAATTTAGAATCTATGTATTTTGATTTAATTGAAGTGTATCAACTAATAAGTATATGAGCTTTTAATTTTTTTATTAGGAGCGAAATGTTTTTTTTTTCATGACATAAAATTTGAGGTTATACCTATTGCGACATTTGGGTCTTTAGATGCAAAACAATCTTCAAATTTGAAGTGAATAATAACTCACAAAATGTTAATCATAGTTCCTTCAGAGCTCGTGCAGGTAGAGATTCAATGAATTTAGCACCAATTCTGGCTTTTGGCTATACTAATAGCAGTGGAAGACATGTAATAAGAGAGGGATCTGTTACATTAGATATTGCTGGGTGGGTCCGGAGCAACGGTAATAATTGATGCGGGGGGAGTTATTCGGGATGATAAGGGTGACTGGTTTACTGATTTTAGCTATAAATTGATCCACGTTCCGCTAGCAATTGTTGAATTTTTTGGCATTCTAGGGGGGCCTAATTTATGCTGGAACCATGGCTTCGAGAAAGCAGGCACATTTTTTTACTACGTAGAAGCCATTTCATTGATATATAGAGGGTGCGATCATGCTCATTCATTCTTGGACACAATCGAGGAAGCACCACTGATATATTACAGAGACTGATATAAGTTTATACCATTGTCTCTGGAAATGTCATGTTCTAATCATTTGACTGTCTGTTTGCATACTTTAAATGTAATAATTTTTTTCATCTTTAATTATTCCTCACCTCTTCATCAACAGGCGACGAGTGAGGAAAGCGGCCTTTGAACACTGTTGATGCTCCACAATCCATTCGTTAAGTAATATATTTGCAGTTTTTATTAAAAAAAAAATGGGAGCAGTTTATAAAGTGAAGACATGTTGCCACTCCTGATTGGCTTTGAGCCTTTGACCATCCTTCATCTCTTACTCAGTCTCACTCTTCCCTGTGCTGTGAGTGTATTGATATGATGGCGCAGTATGACTTTTGAACTCTGCCTCGCTGTATTTGGTTGGAGAGAAAAGAAATTTTAACAGAAGAGGGGAGAGAGATTGGATGTTATCTAAAGAGGAAAAAAAAAATAGTTATATATAGATAATTTTCTTTTTGTTTTATTAACATTAAAATATTGAAAAAATTTATCTATATCTTATAAACCTATCACAAAATTCATATTGATTAAAGTTTGATAAATTTTATCCCTCCCCTTCCAATCCTCCCAACTTAAAAGGGAGGGTTTGGAGGGAAGGGAGGGTCCTCTCTTCTTCAATTTTTCAAGCTAAACAAGGGGAGGAAGACAAAATCTCTCCCCTCTGACCAAACATCTCTTTCATGAGCAAATAATTCATAATTATAGAAGAGAATTTTTTTTTATATTTTAAAAGTTACATTTTATATTTAAATGTTTATTTGTAATTAAAAAATTTAAACTTATAATTATTTGAATATTTTTAACTAAATTTTTTAAAAATTTATTAAAAAATTAACTATTACTCCCTCAACTCAAAAATATAAGGCATTTTTTGAAGAGTTTAATGTCAAAAAATTTAAGATATTTTTAATTTTTTGAGGTATAATCATTGTTTTTTTAAAAAAAATACCCCTATTGATAGTAACTTTATATTTATTATAAGGTATTTAATAGAGGTAAATATGAAAATATGAAAAGATAGGATTAATTTAAAAGTAAATAACTACTTTATTGGGAGTGAGATTCGGTTAAAAATGCCTTACATTTTTTAACGGAGTGAAAATTAATTTAATGTTTTGAAATTTAAAAATCATTCTCTTACAGCCAAGTTATCAACTTTATTGTTATTAAATATATATATTTTAATGATATATTTTATCTCTTCAACATTTAATAGAGGGTAAATAAAAAAAATTTATAATAAAAATTTAATAAAATAATTTATAAGTGAAACTAAAATTTTTTTATTTATTTTATAAATATGATCAGAGAGAGAGAGAGAGAGTATTGTGGTTGGAACGTGAAACCATCTATGTATCCACTCAACTGCAAATTGCCTCCGTATAATTTACATTCGTCAGTGCAAGAGATTTTTATTTGAAAATTAAAGGGGGAAAAGAGAAAAGGTTAGAAAAGTTACAAACTTATTTATACAACGGAAAAGAGAGAAAAGACAGGGAGGCAAGGAAGTATCTTCCCCCTTCGTGTTTTAACGTTTCTCTTGAAGTATCTACAATTCTACTTAAAAAAGAAAAATTGAATCGTATTGCAAACCTCCTACTCCATATCTAGTTCATCTAAGCACTGACTCAACAATAGACGGACAATACTATGAAAAAAAAAAAATTAAACCATGAAAATATCTTCTAGCCTCTACTCCGCGTTCCCATTTCAAATTAATGTCTCAATCTTTTTGGGGCCCGTCATAGGATGTGGAACACGCACACATATACACATACATATAGTCATAATGCTTCGTCTCTTCTTGATTACATGAAGGAATTTTATGCAGTTATATATATATAAATATAGAGACATGAATGTACTTAAAGCATTACTGAAATAACAATTTGTCCCAAAATTCAGGTAATATTTAACAATGTAAAAAATTGAAAATAACATAGATGATCGGGGATAGGGGCAAGAAACAAGTGGGTCTGACACACATAGACTTTGTCCCAAAAGCCCCATTGCTCCAAAAGTAATTGTTTCTTTACAAGCAATCTTATTGATCGCGCTTTAGTTGGGTTTACAGCATTGTTTATTTTTTAGTTTTTTAATTAAATTTTTGTTATAATATTGCGTATTAATGCTTTAATTTAAAGTACAAATTAAACTATTCTAACATTTATAATAAGTAATACAAATCATGATTTTGAAGTATAAAAACATATTTTAAAGTTTAAAATTAATTCAATGATATAAAATACCGCAAAAAAAAGGAAAATTTGGATTTAAAATAAAATTGGGATAATTCAAGTCCGAATTTGTTTTTGAGGCCTTACAAAAGTTGGGATTGGAAACTCTTTTATCTTAAAATACGAGCTTGTGAAAAAAGATAGATCACTAAACCTAGCATGCATTCCCAACTCTAATGAAAAGACTTGCTTGCAATAAAAGTGTATGTTTAGCCAGGGATTAGCGAATGAATATAGCCTTTTGGCAGCCGCCAATGTTGAACAAGAAGGGATAAGGCTGGAGAATGTTTCTCCTTCCCCTTCTCCTTCCGCGGGAGAAATTAACAAATGGAGCGCATTATTTAATAAATGAGAACAGTTATTCTCCGCCTTTTCTTAGTATTCACTCAAACTATAACTCTAAAATATTTAAAAGGTTTTTTCATATTTTTACTCTCAGAAATAACATTGTATTTTTTTCAAATTTCCAGTACAGTTCATTAAAAATATACTATCAAACAGTTTTTTTTTTAAATTTTCTGTTCTATAAAACAAAATTGTTCTCAAAACAAGTTATCAAATATGCCTTAAATCAATATACGTACAACTAATTAATTATTGGATTTTTTAAAAACCATTAGTTAAATTCAATTATCATAGATGAGGTTTTATCTGGTAAGCTATCTGGAGGAATCGAATCAATTGCTCAATAGTGACCAGTGACACGCCTTTTCATCTCCCTCGCTGTGATAATTGGGCAAATGTTACTTCAGCTTAGTCGCCTAACTGAAGAGGTGGGTGCATCTTTCTCTATATAACGATCAAGTTCGCAGCGAGTACTAAACTTCAGCCCAACAAAATTTCCACCGTTAATTTTTGCGTGTTTGATTATTTCGATTTAACAAGTAAGTAGCACTTCGACATTAACCAAAAATGATAATAGCACGTGTAGTTTGAGTCTCAGATCTGAAATTACCTCAGAGAAAGAACATCACAACTTTTCCAGGATAATTTGTGCATGCGTCTCATTTTTCTGTGATCAGCCTTGCATTTGTTTCTTAAAAAATACTCCCCACTGTCCTTTTCAATAAAAGTCATTCCATATAGAATATTTGTTTTTTTTAATTGTTTACAGGTATTTTATTGTCAAAGGCAATCCTATTCAACACACGATTGGACATTAAATATAGGCACATTGCCTCATTTATTTTGTTTTCAATATAAGGCGTTTTAAAAATTGTCTAAATTATTAATGTTTTTAAATCTAAATGGTCATGGTTTGGAATGAAATCTTTAAAAATAATAGTCATTTTTTTTAACTTAACAGTGAGGTTTTATATGCTCGTAATTTAGAAGTTGAGAAAATTTTTTGCACATTTTAAAAGTTCATGATTCAATATGCTATTCACACAATAATTTAGAATTTAATATATTCGTTAACCTTTAGTTTAACAACCTTCACACTATTGCAAGAAGGATTTTTAATAATAATTATTTTAAAATTTTTACATCAATTATTAAGGAGAAGTTAAAAAAAAAAAGAGAAGTGAAAAATTTACTTTTAATGTCATTTAATTAACCGTTATGAAAAATTACTTTGATACAACCGACATTAAATATCACTTAGAAAAAAATTATAAAAAATAAATTTTTCACATTAATTATTTAAAAAATCATTGTAAAAATTTTTTTATAACAATTATCTACAAAAAACTGTTATGGAAATTATCTTTTCACAATATTTTTTTGATATAACCATTGTGAAAGATACATTTTTTAAAATTTATATTTTATTTTTTCATAAATTTAGAATCACAATGACTATACATGTTACAACTACAATTAATATATTTTTATAACTACACTATATATTTATTCAACTATTAAAAGACTATGAAATTTTATTCA